TTTCTTCTGTTATAATTGTCTGTACTTCTACATCCCATTGAGAGGTTATAAACGTCTATTGAAGTCTCTTCTTCCGTTCCCAAATTAGGGAAAACATCTTAAGTTGTTCCCCATGGGAAGCCCAAAGCTGACCTCAGTACAGAGGTGGTGGAGAAAATGAGTCTGCAGCAGTTTGGCTGCCTCTTTTTTAAACCCATCAATACTCATAATCACTTCATATCACACTCCTCCCACAGACTTCATGGGATTGTTCCACATTTACAGGACCAACTGAGTGACCTCTGCCAGCCACAGTCAGAGCAAACTGCTTCTCCCCTATTCACTCCCCACCCACACCCACAGGACAGAAAAACTTCGGTACACGTGCACTGTGTCAGTGAGAGGAGAGAAGCACGCTGACCGGAACACCGCCTTCCCCCCGCGAGAACAGGCACACCTCGCTATTCAGTACAGCATGCACTTCCCCACTGCATACACTTGCTATACATAACCACAAAGCTTCAAACATGAATCTCTTGGCTTCTTGTTCATTTTCCATAATGTCTAACTTGGTGATAATTTTGCTTGCCAGCCAGAAGGGAACAGACCAATTAGTGAAAGTGTAGATTTTCAGATTTCAAAGATGTTCTCGCGTTTAAATAAGTATTAGTCTCTACATTTCTAAATTGAGCAGAATCTTTTTTTCATTGAAAACTTTGAAATTATTCCAGAAAAATGATGTATAATATAATCTTAAACCTACGAAATACAGTTCCATTTTTCAGCCAGCTCTGTTTTACACCAGCAGAAGTCTGTTGAAGTGGTAACTCAGATCAGAGAGAATCAACGGTTTTCTCTGTGTGGTTATTTGTTTGTATCACAGAGCTGTGTGGAATCAGAGTCATATAGGGAGGGTATGCGAGAGGGGGGGACTGTACAAACACAAAGCAAAAAAATGCACAACCTAAGGAACTATAATCTAAGCAAATGGAGCAGTTCTGCTGCCAGCCTCAGTATTTTAAGGCTCTCGAGAGTCAAAGTATTTAAGCAATCCCTAATTTTAAATCAGAGTTACAAAAAATATTTACTGAAGTACTGTGTTTCAGGGTTAATCTTATGAAATTCACAGACTTGGAGGTAAAATATATTTTTCACAGTTCTATGCTGTGTTCCCAGTTCTATTTTGGTCCTTCTGGTAGCCTGCCTGGGTAGCAACTAGACAACAGAAGCTGATAAATCAGAAATTGCAATCATTGCTCAAATGAGGAAAGCTTTAACAGAAGTCTGAATTTGAGCAGAAAGAAAGGTTTTCTTTTTCCTTTTGACTACAGCAGCGGTATGCATTCTTAGCAGTAAAATGCCAGCCATGTTTCAAAAAGTCACATGCCGCATTGCAATATGTAAAAAGAGGTCTCTGTCAAACATGCTTAGGCCCAAAATCGGACAGAGATTAAAAATAAAACCCATCACTCCAGTGGTGGGAATTTTAAACACCCCTGGGGGTACAATCTTTGCAGGAGGCATATAGAAAAGATCTGTAAACTCAGCTCCCATCAGTATCTCTGCAGCATCAGTCAGCAAACCTCAACTATCCCCTCCAGGTAGGGTAAAGGAATTTTGGTAAATCTTGTGCAGAAGTAAATTATGTGTTTCAGATAATATTTGTTTTATAAAAAAGAAGGCAGAGTAGAGAGAGAGTTCTAACAAAATCTGTGATACTAAGAAACAGGTTTTGTTTTCTCCCTGAATTGCTTTCTGGAGATGAGCCTTGAGGGCCTCCATTCTTCTAAAAGAGCCAGCTGAGGTTGGATTTCTACCCACATTATCCCAGGAAAGGGCCTCATTCTCAAAAGAGATTGACAAGTAATTGCTCCAGTGGACGAGAACTGCAAACCCCTCACCCCAGTTTGTCCTCCCTCCTCCCTCAGAGTAACCCAGCCTCTAGAACTTGTTGAAATCTGGTCAACTCGTCTCAGAGCTGTGGTGTAACCTGAGCCTGGAGGATGTCTGGCCTTTCACAGCACAAAACACCAAAAATATTTCAGTCACTGTGCAACCGTGTTTCAAGAAGGCTGAGGAAGGAAACTTCCTTCCTACAAAGTGGCAGCCTCTGACAGAGGGACTTGAGCCACCAAGGTGAACTGTAACAAAAACTGTAAATCAGAGGCCATGCATGCTCCAAAAGGGAAGCTGAGGTTTCTTGATTCAGAAATATGCTCCCACACTTAGGGACCCAAACTGTCTGGGAACAGACAACAGCATCATCTTTTATTTTACAGCATGACTGGAGAGGGTACTGCTCCCAGGAGGAGGTGGGTACCACTTTTCCCCTTTTAAAAAACATGAGCTCGTTTTCTTGGTGTAAATCTTCAGCGCTGGGGGTCTTAGTGTTCTCGATCCTTAGGCATCTCAAGTGTGATCTCCAATGAGGTGACAAAGCCCCAGAAGACCCACTTCTGTTCTTAGTTTTCCCCTAAACAGATCCATGCCCAATGCATCAACCTCTGGAGCACCAACATATCTCCGTGTGCTTTTGTGTCTATTTTTGGAATCCAGAGCTGAATGTGGCCCTTTGTACCTCAGCTATCATTTTGCTGACAAGATAAGAATATTTTTATTCTGTGCCTTGTTTATTTAAATGTCAACCCTTTAAATCAGAAGCATCCCTCACTGTGTGCATAAATCTGGTAGAGCATCAAGGGGGATGGGAGAAAGGGAGCTCTAAGCACAGTAAAAATGGCAGAAAAATATCCTGTGTACAAATAGGTTCTTAATTGCTATTGTTAGAATACAATCTTCTGTGAACTTTTTCTCTATTGCTATAGACTAGCTATAATATAAAAATCTCTTGATTGTTTAAATGATGTGGCTAGGAAGAATATTTCTCCCACTGAGAATGGAGACAATTTAGAATATGGAACAGAATGGGATAAGATGAATATTCAGAAACTCATGGAGTCAACTTTCTGCACACACAGACTAAATCATAAAAAAATGCCACTGTCTGCAGTATCAATGCCTAGTCATAACTGCACTATTTATAATGGGATATTAAGCTTTAGTTATGTTACTGTCTTAGGCTACATAAACCACCAGGAAAGGAGAGAATAAATAAGGTCCTTGCATATTACTTAGTTGCAGCAAACAGGAGGCTGCACTACTCACAATTTTGCTTTGCAAGGAAATTCCACAGTTGAGAGGTGGTGGGATGGGTTGGGGGGGAAACAGGACCCCAGCTAGCATTAATCAGTATGGCCTCAGTAGGCCATTAATCAGTATGGGAATCAGTGGGGTAAAGCCTCAGCCTTGGTAAACTCGCAGACCTCTACTGAAACGGGTAGGTCACACAGTGTGAACTGCTCTAACTCCACTGAAATAAACTGCTTGTCACCACCCAGGGATTTGGGTCCTGTTGTTAAAACTGGGAAGGATAGATATAGGTCATGTTCTTATTCATAGGGGCTAAAAACTCCCAGAGTTTGTGCTGCTAGGGGCTATCTGCTTCCCTGGAGAGAGAGAAATGCACATGAGCTTGAGCAGGTGAGACGGATATGTGACCTTACAGTGCTGATCCAGAAGCTGACTTTTCCCAAAGTCAAAGGCAGTTCTGGCAGTAACATCCACCTTGAGCATCCTGTTTAAGGGATAAGGAGCTGTAAAATAGCAAGTCCATTCTAAGTGTCTTGTAGTAATGCTTCCTAGCCCATAGTGACCTACTGGAGAGAGGAACCAGTACTATCATCTGCAAGCTGCTTAAAGACCTGATGCTTACAAGCTCCATTCATATAGGCACAGCCAAGGAAGGACAGTGGCTTGTCAGTGCACCTTGTGGTCACCCCACATGAGCAGGGTGGGATCTGTGGGCTGCCTGAGGTAAGAATCTAATAATTTGACCTACAGCCATGATGCCAGTTAGAAAGAACTCGCTTCATTAAAGGAATTGCAAGAAATTGGCAGTTTGTTTTCCATTGCTATGAACAGTCTCATCACGGCTTTTATGGCTTTCAGAAACTGTAGTTCTATCTTATTCCTGTTTCTCACTGCAAAAATCAGGAATCTCATTACCCTATATACAGATGTGGGCTGTGTGTTACTCCAGCTAACGCAGTATGTGCAAACTACAGTAAAAGCTAGGTCAGTCTAGTAGTGAGACTACTTTCAGCTCTGCCCCCTATGTCTGCTGCAGGACGTTGGAAAGGTCTCTTCATCTCCCATTCCTTCACCGTCCTTTCAACCCTTCTACTGTCTTCTGTCTTTGGTCTGTTGAAGAATTGAATCTTTCACTTCCTCCTTCCGCAGGTGGGCCCCTAAGGTTAGAGTTCCCCACAACCCCGTTTGGGTGGAGCCTGTTGCCTCTCTTCTGCCACTCTGACCTTCCAACAGCTGCTTACAGGAAAGCAGCCGAAGCCAAACTGAGACCAGAAGTAAAAACAGGCTGTGGTTCTACCCACAGCATAATACAGGTATTGTTGCTCATGGCAAATGCTTTTGTTTTACAAAGAGATTCAAAAGTTTTGTGACTCCTGAGCCTGGCTGTGCATCTTCTGCCTGGAATCCTTGGCCTCACCACTCTCTCAGAACTGTTCTTTGGGTGAACAAAGAGTAAGACATTCCCATTCAATAATGTTCCTGCATTAGTAACAGGATTACCAGAAATCCATTTTTTCTTTTTAATATCCTTCCACTGCCAAAGCTGAGGAGCCTTGCAGCAAATGAATGTATTTGGCTACAGGTCCTGCATAGGCATATGAACCTTAGATAAACTAAAACTGTTTTTAAAAATTGATTTTTTTTTTCCTCAGGCAATATTGTTATGTCCACCTCCTAATCTTTAATTGGATGTCAGACTTAGCGTGTTGATAACTTGGGTCACTATCCATTAAATTTTGTTTTGACTGCTGATAACGTAATTACACCATTTGACAAAGGGAAGGACAAGCTGAGGAAGTTGGAGTAACTTGATGCTAAAACACATTACACATTAAGATGTATCATGTTGATTGTTATAAGAACATACTTACTGTGGTCCAACCGACCTGCTGACCCAGGTCTGTAAAATACAGTGTAATGATGGAGGAAACAGCAAGGCTTTGAATGTTAATGGAATCCTTCAAATAGGGCCCATCTGTAATGACAAAAAGGGAAAAGGAGATGGCATGAACAACAGGAAACTTCTCAGAAGCTCAGCATAACTTGTAGGCTGCCCTGCCTGGGTCAAGGTGTAAGCCCAACTTGTATTCTGATTTATTTCGGTGACTTGATACTTATTCTCCAGGTTAGCAACTTAGAGCATTTCTGTGAGAGTTATTCTCCTCCCATTTTAACAAAAGCATTAGGCTGACATGACACTGGGTGGCAATGCATAGCAATTGTTACAATGCTATCTCTGTTAATCTAGACCATTAGAGACATGCCATGCAATCACACAGACAATTTTATAGAGCACTTTTTGTTCTGTCTCGCAAGACTAATGGGAAAGTCAATGTTATGCAGTGTCTCCCACACTGATATCTTTTGCTGAAGCATTTGCATTCTCAGGTTATTTTACAATAGGTGGCACCGTCATGATGAACGCAACTTCTTGGGCAAAAGCCCAGAGACCAAGATTTCTTTGTAAGCTGTCTGACCTGGGCAGACCAGGTGTATCTGAGCATTACATTACTTTTCACAGTATTCTGAGCCATCTGCTTCCAGTCCTGATGGACCTAGAGTGTACAGGCAGAAACATAAAATGGCAACATCTGGTTCTCTTTTTTTTATAGAGGCAGTGAGTTGGATATTAGGAAACCCCAACAGCTACTGGCATGGGGTGTTGCCATGGCTGCAACACTTCTTTTCTCTTTTCCACTTTGTGTATTGCATCTCCCTTTCAATACGTTTGTTGACTGTTTAAGTCAGTGAGAGTGCTAAATTCCACCAGATGCTGAGCCCTCATTTTCTATGGCTCTGCAACGCTACATATCCACAGACCAAATGCCACACAGCCCGTGGCAGCTTCATCTCCCTCCCACTGCCATGTCCACCAAGAACTGGTGTACTGGCACAAAAAAAGAGGCTGCCTCCTGGAGCCGGTTGCATCTTCTGATGAGGCTGTAAGCAAGTATTAAAATGCATAACGCAGTGAGCGAGGGGAGTGAATGGTTTTAAAACTGCCTTGTCTTCATGATTTGATCATATACCGTATTCTGAAACATTTTTACTCAGCAGTTATGAAATCCATTCGATTCCTTTATTAATGAGAAAGCTAATAAGTTAATCATTGATATCAATTAATGAAAAAATGCTAACAGTTCACCCAATAACACATATATAGAGAGCAATACTGTTAGGAGGAGAATTTGCCAGAGGATTAGTAATACATTAGGTGGTTGTATTCAACCATGTGAATACTTACTGCGTTCTAGTTGCAGGCCAACACGGGAAGGGTACCACTGGGGACCTGTTTAAATCACAAAGCAGGGCTGTTAATTTTATGGTGGAGGATCTAAATTTCTCTTTCTGATAGCATTCTTTTTAGCTGATAGCTACAAATGTGAGATTAAAAAAAAAATCCTCTCTTGCAGTCTCAGCTGTAAAAGTAGAAGACAAAAAAGCTAGGAGCACACAATACACACATTAGAGCAGAAATCCCTTCTCCCCACTTGAGTGTTGGAAGGGCCAATCTCAATGCTGAATGCTCCATCAGCACATGAAAAATGGGCATGTGCACGCACCACTAGGAAGTATCAAGAGGACCCTGTTTATTACTATATTTGCCAAAACTTTGTACTAAATGTGTTAGTCTTGCCCCTCCTTCCGAAATGATGCTTGTTCTACAGTCTGGTCCAAAGGGGCTGGTTTTTCACATTTAGGAATGCAAAAACTTAGTAGGGACATGGAGCTAGCACTCGTTCTTAGTCACAGATTAATCAGGCAGATAGAGACACAAAAAGCAGAGGCACCTGTGTAGCTAATACTGGATTACATACGACTTCCATGATACCCATCAACTTAAGGATGTTCCCTAGAAGCAGGTTTTTAAATGCTCTAGTTTAAAGGTTGCTCCTAAATGCACAATAGCAGTTGGCAGTTGTTATTAGGTGCCCTTTGATGATTTTGGACAGAGACCCGTCAGTTTGTTCGAACAAGTACAGATCTCCAGCTGCATTTGTTTCTCTCAGTGTCAGGGCAAGTGGGTAAGTGCCACAGAAAGACTGCAGAAGGAATCATGGCTGTTCAAATTGTTAACTTGTCCAGCTCTTTCTAGTGCCTGTAGCAGAAGGCTGTGCCCCCACAGCTGTGCTGGCTGAATGGGCAATATAAGCACTCCTCCTTTGCATCATGTAACTTAGCTTAACCCCCACACATGCTTCAGTTTGCCCTTGAAGGTTTGTAGGGCTGACCTGGCACATTTTAGGGCTGAGCTGGAGCAGCCTGGGGAGACCTGACACAGCCCATGGGGTTGACTGAGATTTGGGGGCAGCAAAGTCTGACGGAGGAAAGTGAGGGAACAGCTGCACTATCTCCACCCCCAGCCATTTCTACCACATTTATCTTTATTTTCTTTGACACACTTTAGGACAGTTGATAGCCTGAAATAGGTTTGCTTTGTCTTTTCAATTCAAAGTCTGGGTGAAATTGGTCAAATACAGCCATGGTTTTCTTTAGACCTATCTTACAACTGTTAGTATTCCTGTATTTAAGACAACAGTATTCCCGTACCTTATACAAATGGAAAAAAATTCTCCACAATGACTGTGATCAAACATGGGAACATTTGCCCTGAGAAGCTGTGGGATCTACTTCCCTGGAAATAGTCAGGCCTCCGCTGGGGAAGACCCTGAGCAATCTTATAGCACTTGAAAGTTGGCCCTGCTCTGAGCAGGAGCCTGGACCAGACGAGCTCCAGAGGTTGCTTCTACTTTAACTGTATTTCAGGATGATCAAGAGAGCTCGTTCACCCCACCGGCTGCCAGCTGGAGGGGAAGGGGAGCTGTACACAGTGTGCACTGCACCCGCTGTGCAGTGGCACCCAGCACACTCTCATTTCAAAAGCACTTGGTCTGAGTTTTGTAGGCAAGAACAGGCATTAGATGAACCCATGAACCAGGGCTAATAGCAGGAGGTGAGATATCCATCAAGTAAGTCACAAACATTTTTTTCAAGGTGCCACAACAATATATGGCTATTAAAGATAACAAAAGGAAGATAGAGAAAGAGCAGCTGTCTGACTTGTCAAGGAAGATATGATTTGCTCCAGGACAGCAGATATCAATAGTTATTTGGGAGCCTGAAATGCAATGTACTTGTGTTAAATTGGAATCTTCCCCCCCAACCCCCCTTCATATTACAGTATGTTTCAATAAAAGCCAATTTACCTGATCCTGTGGCAGTGCACTTTTAGGTACGGCTCATAATCTTCACAAGGGCAAACAGAGGTTATGTGTTTAAGCACGTCATCCCACATTTCCAGTCCTTTAGCCTCAGTATACCATTATGTTCAAACATACTCAAAGATTTAGACAGATGGAAGTGTGCCTTTGCTGCTGCTTGTCTGCAGTGACCTTGTTATCACACTACTGTGTCTCTCTGGTTTCCAGACCGTCCTTGGGGTGCTGTGTGTATTTTGCTGGAGGGACCTGCAATTAGCTGTTGGGATGTTCCTTCCCAGCTCTCATCATTGGTGGGGGGCCACTAGCTAATACCAAGTGGAAATGCTATGCAAATGGAGTGGGGGACAAAATCCATACACGTGTCTATTTGTAAGTATGTTGGTTTAATCTGAACACGAAAGTTTCCCACTTTCAATCTTTACTGGCAGCAGACTTTACCAAGGCTGTTCCCAAGTCTTAGCTGCCCGGGGTCCTGCAAAAAACAGTGTTGCTTTCTGGAGAGAAGTGTGACCCCCACTTTATTCTTTGGGAGGTCTCAGAGGTCTGGCTGGTCTGCTCTGCCAGCCTGATGAGACTCCTTTCAGAGTGAGGAAACCCCACACATTCCTAGGCATCAGAGATTTTCCTGCTCACCACTTGGTAGCAGTCAGCCAAGGGGACCCTGGCCCCACTTGTCACCATTTACCGGCCTGCTTCCTGTGACGGGGTGTTTGCCACAGGGATCCTCCAGAGCTCTGACTAGGACAGCTCTGGATTTCTATTTGGCAATGCAGGAAACCATTCTGATCCAGCCTGGCTCTCGCAAACACACATCCATGTCATTTCTATAGGAGAAGAGCTCTTCTTTCTTTTAACAGTGAAAAAAAGACAAACGCAGTGACTAATTATCACCCATATTAATTCTTGCTACTGCCTGTCAGAATAGCGGGTTGATGGCTCTCTTGGATATCTAGAGCCAGTACTATCTGGCAGATAAACTTCACCTGCCATCAGCAGGAGTTCAGAAGTGCATGTGGAGAGTGCATGCTCCCAGACAGAGTAGCCAAGCACTCACTAAAGATGGAGACACAGCTGCAGCTGTGTGCAGCACTCGAAGGCCTCTCTGCACTCCCACACCTGGCAAAGCTCCCCTTGCTTCCAGTCTAAAGCTGGAGGGTTTCTCTTTTCCAGACTTGTTTTTTTTTAGTAGGGTTTACTTCCTAGTTTATTCTTATTAACACTTCCCAGTGGTGCCTCCTGCAGAGATGAATGGCAATCCAAGAGCCTGGGTGACTGAAGTTTATCTTGTAACTCCTGTTGCATCTAACATCAGGCATGTATTATTATTTACTTTCTGACATTGTGATGGTGCATCAGAGCTCAGCCACCGGTACTCGGTAGGTCCCGGTCCCGGTATATTCCTTGTGATGAGCAGAGCTGTTCAGCTCCCTTATGCAGGGTTACGGTTTTGGCTATGCATTTCACACTTGGAATGAAGTTGTAAAAATAACATTTCAGCCCACTTATATCCCAGACCGCTTTTGACTTGAAAAAGCAGATATAGGCTGACCAGAAAATAAGAATGGCCATCACGGTTCAAACCACAGGTCTATTTAGCCAATATTACATCCTCTGATATTTAGCCAATATTGTGGTTCCTCCATCGCATTTCTTAGATTTCTAGCATTTGAGTAGAACAGTTTTGGTTCCTTTCTTCGCAGCATGTTTGAACAGCTATTGAAATGTCTTCCTGGTTTTCCATCTCCTGTGTGATTGTTTCTACCTCCTGACTTATCCTTCTCTTGAAGGGTGTTTGTCTCAGACTTTAATACAGTCACCCCGCAACTGCATGTACGTAGGCACCTTTGCCCATTCCTCAGCTGAAAGGTTATTCACAAAGTCCTTGATTTTAAGTGTCATCAACATCATTCTTCTTCCCTGAGCAATCTGATCTAGTAAAAGATGTCCCTGCCCATGGCAGGGGAGCTGGACTAGATGATCTTTGAACATCCCTTCCAACCCAAACTGTTTTACAATTCTATGATTCATTCTGTTATAATTCAGACAATGTTCCTTCTATGTGTATAGGCTTCCTTTAGTCTGGAAGGGTAAGCAATTCATGATAAGTCTTAAGGCTTTTACCTTATTCCATCTTCTCTGTTAGGAATCTGTTCCAACTTTGTGGAACAAATCCATATATTTATTTAAAAACATTTTTCAACACAGGGTGATATTTCCTTGGAAAGTGACTCAATGTTTACTTTTAATAATCTGTTTTAAAAAATGAACATGAGGAAAAATATTTAATTTTGGATGGGCTGTTGGACCTGCCAGTATTTAACACAAAAATTAAAACATAAGCAAACTGACAGGGTATATAAAAACTGACAGCCGCCTTTAATTTGACCATACTCAACTATGAAACCACCTATTAATACTGGATATAAAAAGGAGATGTAGTGCTATTAAACAACCATCCAAATGCTTGCTAAAATGACAGCCTTGGTGCCATGCCCAGCTGCCAATACCACTATGCAAAGATGCACAGAAAACCAAGTTCTACTGGTCCCACTGCTCGCACAGTTTGTTTTTTCACTGCATTTATACTAGAATTCCAGTAAATGAATCAGCTGACAATCACAGGAACTGAGGACAGTTTTAAAAGCCATATGCAGTTTTAAAAGCGTCCAAAGGTACTCCATATCCATGATTCAAATTGACCTTAATGTGTGCTCCACCACTTAAATATCAGAAGACATTTTGAAAATTTAACAACTAAGAAATCTAAGTACTAGGTACTTTCCAATAGTTATGAAATTGAAGGGGTTAGTCTAACTTTTGTTAAGTTTCATAAAGAACCTTCCATAAAAATCCTTTAGTGTGCTGTTTGTTCTGTAGTAAATTACCAATCAAATGTCTATTTGTCACAAAGTATGCATGAAGTTATGTGAACCTGTATGAGAGCAAAGGATTAACAAGATGAAGACCTCTCTTGCTGAGAAATTCAGTGTGTTCTTTAGAACGCAGCCCTGCAAAAGCTATTTTGCTGGGGAGCAAGGAGTCTAGGAAATGCAAAACAGAGCTGACG